CTCTGAATTCCCATCTTTCTCTACAGCCATCTTTCTTCTTCTAAAGGAAGTTAACAGCTGAGGATGTGGTTAGGATGTGAGCTGTGCTTCTAATTAGGGACTACTTGCCTTTATTAGTTGATTGGCTACTAAAAAGCCCTCTGTAATAAAAAAAAAAAAAGAATACTACAAACAGTGTGAACACAGGCCTTCACAGAGAGTTTTGGATACTTTGCATCTTAGAAACTATTACTCATTGTACTGAGAGAGTTTGCATCTCTGTACCCATTACCAAGAGGACCAACATCAGTTTTCCCAGTAACCTCCCTAAGCGTAAAGCTTTGGAGAAAGAGCTGAAATTGATCCAGCAAAGTTTCAAAACATACTCTACTATATACAGACCCACAAACCAGACACCCAGCTCTGCAATAATACCAGGTCTATCTTCAGTACATCAACCTTTGCCTGGCTCCTGATTAAACTACAAGGGTGCTAAACACAAATCACAGGGTACATGGACTCTTATCACTATTAGTGGACTGTGTATCGAGGTAACAAGAATTCTTTCCAAGACATCAAGACTGGAGAGTATTTTAAGGTCTTTTTATTTGTTTTACCATTCAGCTCTCAGTTGGATTCAGACTTTCTGTACACCACACAAGATCTGCAGAGATGCACTACATAGCTATCCTGTGACTTTCAAAAGCATTAATACTTAGGAGCCTGAATCTTTAATTTCCAAACAAATTTCTGGTATCTTCGCATCACACAAAGGGAACATACGCTTCTAAGACTATGCACTTGTGACACAGCACTAGCACCCCAAACAGAAATTTTATTGCCAAATCACATGTTGCATCAACAATGGGGCAGAAAAGGTTTTTGGAGCTTTGCTACACCTAAGTTGTATTATTTAATCTGCCAAATGACACATCTGCATCAGTGTGCTGCACCATGCTCCTGTGTCAGTCTGGCACCTATTCCATTCCTATCAGCACCTGGTACAGACTTGTCTGAAACTTTTTAGTTAATAGCTTTTAAAAATGTTATTCTAAGCTTGAGATGTGCACCACTTCCTGCACACAACAGTGCTAATTACACATGCCACTTGAGAACTTCTGTGCTTGTTAACAATGTTTAAACGTATCCTAGTAAAATAGTCATCTGACAAAGAAGGAAAGTGAAACAAGAAGCAATGCAGAATACATACACCTAAATGAAATATACCTGGCTATTCATGAAAGTTTTATTTTGCTACAACGCAGTTCAAAGAAGTCATCTTAATACAAGATCATTCAGACCTATCTGTTATAAAGTATCCCATTAGGAGCAGATACTCCGTGGATAAAGGTGGCTTGTGGGGTTTTTTAAGAACCTTAGATACATATTAGCTTTGCTTGTCATGCAGACCTGCTCTCTGGGAGGTTACTGTGACCCATTCATATTGATTTGCATGCAGATAAGAGTGAAATGTTGACATTTTCTAGTGCTTTTATGTTTTCACAGACAATATTTTTCATAGGAACTAGAATAAACTGGTTTGGTTAAATTTCCTCCTATTTTATCAGTTCATTTATGCATTTGGATGGCTACAATATCTGCTCCAAAATGTTTAAAATGTAAAAATACCATATGAAAATAATTTTGGAGTATCTCTTAGCATTCCTGGTATATAAAAATACGTACTTCTTCCAGATATAAAGGCTTATCCTTCCATTCATGTTAACATTTGGAAAAACCTCACTTGAAGATATCTTCTGCAAAAATACAGCCACAAGCTCTACTAGAAATAAAGATTTGTCACTAGGAGAAAATATCTAATAATGAAGTTACTGAAGCACTGGAATAGAATGAGAATATTAGAGAAATCTTCATCCATTTAGGTCTATCTAGGTTCATCTGAATGCTTTCACTCCCTGCTACAAAACATTTTGCAACCTTAGTATTCTTCTCCCCAACTGATTTCTCAGTGATGCTCACACAAACTGGGAGAGATACCCCTGTAGATACCATAATGGAAGATCAGTGCCGTAAGGTGCTGAGAATGGAAGACGTGCCTGAGAGAAGGTAGCGAGAATGAAAGAGTGGAAATAGATTGCTTAATCCTACCTTTTTCTTGAACTCCTTGATACATCCTGCACTCTGTTCCCAGAAACTCTATGTATTCTCCTCCCTTCCACCCTCAATATATTCTGTAGAGCTCAGCTTGAGAATCTCATAGACAAAGTTTTGGCAGAAACATCCCTGTATCTGATCCCTAATGCTACCTCTCAAGATGTGTTCCAACCAAACTCTAATACCATTCTTCTTTCATGAAATATAAAGCCAAATTGTGTATAGAATACATTGGAAAATTCACAAGCTGCAAGTTTTACCCCAACCCTAGTTTTCACTTGATACATGAAGAACCACAATTTGGGAAGACACTGTCATAATTCTGCAATAAAAATGACATTGGGATTATTTACACCTCTAAATAAGAACAGAAGTGGATTTGTCTGCTGCTAGACAGACCCTAAGCAGAATATACAGCAACAGTTTAATTATATAACAGCTCTTCAATCTCGCTCTTACACACATAGAATCGTTTAGAAAAGACCTCTAAGATCATCAAGTCCAACTGTTAAGTCTGCCACTGCCAAGACCCCACTAAACCATATCACTAAGTGCCACACGTACACACCTTTTAAATACCTATGAAGCAGTGACTCCACCACTTCCCTGGGCAACCTGACCCAAACACTATTGCTAATACAGGCCGGAATGCTCTTGGCCTTCTTGGTTTGCTGGGCACAAGCTGGCTCATGTCCAGCCACTGTTGACCAACACCCCCTAGGTCCTTTTCTACTGGGCAACTTTCCAACCACTCTTCCTAAGTCTGGAGCATTGCATGGGGTTTTTGTGACCCAGGTACAGGATCCAACACTAAACCTTGTTGAACCTCATACCATTGGCCTCAGCCCATTGATCCAGCCTGTCCAGATCCCTCTGTAGAGCTTTCCTGTTCTCCAGCAGATCAAGATTCCCACCCAGCTTGGTACTGTCTGCAAAGGGGATTTCAGACAATTTGGAGTACTGCATAGTCAGCAAAGCTTGGTTTTGGTTTGGGATTATTTTATGATTTTAATATTGTAACAAAGACCTGAAAATTCAGTTTCAGGTTTATACCTTTCAGAAGCATCTTTCAGGCTTTGCAGAATCAGATAACCAGCACACAGTAAAGACAAAGCTATTCCTAATTTATACCAGCTATTGTTTCATCTACCTGCTGATGTCAGATGGAATACTGGCCCCTGGATACCCGCCAGCAATTCTCCACCACCACCATTATGGATTGTGCAATTTCATTGTCATTTGAGAAACCAGTGTATACTTCCAAGAAGATTTCAGAAGAGTCAATGTAGGTTAAAACATTCCCTCCCCAATCCCACCACCCTGTCCATTCTCCACCCCAACACCTCCTCCTGCACACGCACAACTTCTCTCTTCTGTTTATTTTTTCTTTTAAACACTCTAAGCAAGAATTGACTTTGGCTGCTCTTCCTGAACCCTGAAGTGTTTGAGCAGATAAGATTCAGATAATATGTTGGAAGAAAGTTTCATAGGTCCCTTTTCTCCTGGCAGGTAGGCCAGCTCTGCAGTGAGGTTTCTTGCCCCTGCAGCACTGTTTTTCTGGCCTGTCTGCTTCTCAGGGTAGGCCAGATTTGAAATTTTAACTGTATCTGACTGCTAAAAAATGCTTCAGCTGAAAGATACTTCCATATACACAGTGCTAGGGAAATACAATGTGTCAATCTGCTTACCCTCATCCCAAATGTGGTGGTAGTTTCTCAAGCAGCCTTATTGAGCCCTTCTTGGACTAAGTGAAATGGAGCTCACCTGAGCTCCTCTTCCTTTATGGAAAATAAATTAAGAGTGATAAAACTCCCACATTACAAAAGAAGCAAGATATGCCTCCAGAAAAATAACTGGTTTTAGAGGACAATATGAAAATAGTTCCACTTGTTTTGATTAAATACTGGTAAAAATGGATGCACTCTACCACTATTTTTTCCACTTAGAGGCTTATCTGAAACTAGAAGCTTATCTGAAACTAGAAGGCTCTCATTTTACTCCTAGGTAAAAAGAATGTCAGGGCACTCTTTCCACAGCCGTTTTTCTGTCACTACAGGGCCCACATTAAGTCTGTGTGCCACCAGGAGACAGCATATGGAAGTAGTTTCAAACACAATCATCTAACACATTACCTTAAAACACATTTTACTGTGAATCACTCAAATCATAGTTTTAGTTGTGGTGTCCCAAGGTGAAGTCTTTAGTGGCAATACTGGCTTATGGTATTGAGATTTGTCTCTCATAATCATCCTGCCCAGCATCAGTGTATTCTGTTGTTCTAGAACAATTGTTTATGTAGCCATGTGGTTCACTGCACCAGAGACCTGATCTTGCTTAAAACTAATCCAGACAAAAAAGTAATTTGGTTGGGTTTATTTTATTTTATTTTTTAAGTATATGTGTTTCCAGCTCCATTTCCAAGCGCAGCTGCATAAATAGTTGGGCTGGCACAAGCGAAGGGGTGGTGTACCACAGAAACCAGCAGCAGGTGGCAAAGGAGGTACAGCTAAGTCAGTATTGCTGCCAAACACTTCACCTTGGATACACAGTCTCAAATCTAGTCAGCAGTTCATGTATGTAATTCACTTAGCTTCACACCAAGTGAACTGGCAGCAAGGAACACAAGACTGCAAAACCATACAGGAAACTCAGGCAAATTTGCCACTGACTTGCTTGCACTGAATGCCACACTATGCCCATAGTGATAGCAATGACATAACTGCCTCAACATTAAAGCAATGGTGTATCATTAACTCGAATTTAAGCTAATGCTTCCTTGCATATGTAAAAACAGCAGCCACAACTCTGAATGAACTGCAGACTTCACCTTGAACACTGTGTGTTCAACTTGAAGTGAAAAATATTTATGCTTGCAAGCCTACAGGTCTGCAGACTTTAGCACTCACCCGTTCTGCCACCCTCAGATACACAGGCGATGGTGAGTCCAAACTCTGATATGCCACATCTGCTGTAAGGAAAAAGGATTATTTAAAGAAAGGGTTGCTGAAAACATTATCTTGTTAATATAAATCATTGCATAAAGCATAAGAACAGTGAGTGAAAGCTTTGGGGTAAAGTAACGTCTAATCACAAAACAAACCCATACATCTTTTATGACAGTAGGGAGCACACAGTACCTGAGTCCCATGTGACAGCATCAACTGCATTTTGAAATCTCTATTTAGAAATCTAAGCAACCTAGCAAGATTTCAACATAGACTTCCTAAAACCTAATGCTGCGAAACGAAAGCCAGCTCTGCAAGTGCAATTTTATGTTATTAACATCATGTTAGCCATTAAAAGGTCTTTTCAGTAACTATTTCCCTATCAGTTGCTGCTTGATCTAAAATTCTTACGAATAAAATTATTACTGCTGTGATTACTATCAGCAGTAAGGTCTATAGTGCCATCCAATGGTAACATGAGTTTTAGCACCTATGAGTTACAAATTTCTGCCTCTAGCTGCTTCTGCCACAGTATGACATCAACCTTAAAAGCATCTCGCAGAACCGATGAAGGCTGAAAAATATCAGATACAGCAAAAGGTTTACACGCATAAATACAGGGTACACTTCCACACAGGCACGGTTTGTCACACCATCACTGATAACTGAAACTTCAAAGTCCAGGTAACAGGTAGATATATCCCTTCTTTCCTTTCCACACAGAATTCTGACAGATTATTTCTTCAGGTTAATTTAGTGCAAACTGATGTACTTACCAAAAAAGTTATTCTTACTCTCTTTAACAGAGGCAGGAAAGAGAGGTGTTGGTATCCCAGTCCCTCTAACAGCATTCTGGTTATCCCTTCCCAGAGGAAGACTTATTTCCCAAGGACTAGAGAATAAGCCTGACAGCTAACACAGAACTCTGTTATGAAGTCATGTATCTTGCACCCCATATAACAGATTTAGCATATTTGCAACCTGCTTCATCATGTTGCTTTGAACTATGGAAAGTGAAGAGAGAAGATCTGAAATGCATGTTTGAGTTTGGATGAGTACCTGCCTTGTTTTATTTTTGTGAACCAGAGTAAGTTACAAGATCCAACCCTTTTAGTTCTCATTTCCAAGTGCCAGGTTCCAATGGATCATTTAATGACTAAACCCTCTGAATCAGTGTATATTGGGATGAAAACCAATGTGCCTCAAGTTACACAGGTTGGAATTATTTGGGGGGAGGGACTGCCTTCCTCTCTAAACTGCAAGAAGGGTTGTGTCTTGTGATCACAGAATGTTTTCAGTTACCTAATCCCCCACCATTATAGGGATTGAAGGCACCAGTAAGGCTTTTAATCTCTTCTGCTTTTTCCCTGCAACGCTTTGCAGGTTTTGCAACTTTTAGTATTTTGTAAGGTAGATTATGAATTTCATACAGGCTGTTAGGAAATGCTCTGGATCTTTGTGGAGAGTGCAATTTGAGGGCTAACCAGCTTTTTAATGGTTGCACACATTTGTAGGGCACAGGTCTCTATGATCCAGGTGGCTCTTTTCAGCCCATATTCATGACTGGCTGAACATTTAAGACCTTTGATTCTACTGGGACAGGCATCCAAAACTGTGGAGCTTGTCGAGTCCAATTCAGCATTAGGATAAACAGTTATTGCCCCCTTTGGCTTCAACTGAACTTATAAATCCAGATATTAATTTACAGTCTTTACATTGCAAGCCAGGACTGGAAATCTTATGGAAATGAATATTCTTCTAGAAATTCCAATCCAGGTATTCCTATTACCAATCCAATTCTATTCCAGTCATAACTAGATTGTGTTATAAGGTTATTTGGGGTTTTTTTGTACTGCTTCCTACCAAGAAGAAAATAGTTCAGAAGTCACTGAAATGAATCTTTCAAAACAAGGCAAACCATCAAGGGGCAGTTTTCCTTGCTGGAGCATTTTAGACTAAAACATTTTGCAAATGGAAAAGTGTATCTTCACAATGAGTAATGGCAGAGAACAGTGTAAAAAGTTAAATGACTCAACTCTTAACAGCCCTCCATTGACACTCTGGTCAAGTTTTCAAAAATACACTGTTTCAGACCCTATACTGAAGAAAGCAGAACTTATTACTTGATTAAATGGGTCAAGGATGGTCTTTTCATACTTTCATGCAGAGCCTAATTTAGAAAGGATGCATGAGATCCTATAGCACTGCTGCAACAATAATTCTGTGCTAAATGTTATATTTTCATAAACTGGAAAATGACTGTGGTTTCCACACAGAGGAAAACAATTGCTCTAGTATGCGTTTTGGAGCTGAGAAATGAGTAGTTATGACATGCAACAGGGCTGCAGCCTTCTGCAAGTACATCTGCCTACACTTTAGATGCCACATCTACTCCAATGCTAAACTTCATCATCCTTGGAGAATCAGATTCACTGCAATGAGTAGTACATGATATTGATATTATTATCATTACAGGAAACAGTTTATTTCAAATAAGACATTTGTTTCTTCACATGGGCAGCTGTGCTGCTACCTAACTGTCTACAGAAATGTTTCCAAAAGAGACACCTACCGAGTAAACAATTCATTGCCTTAACTCCCATTAACTGTGGGAAAGAGTGACACCAGGCGGTTACTTTTAATGGTGCATACATTTCTTTTTGCTACAGGTGATTTTCTCTCTCAGCAGCCTCTTCATTGAAGTAATTTCGGGGGCCCGTTCCATTACTAAGGTTGGACAAGTCAGTCACGCAATGAGATAGGTTAAGGCAAGCAACCACTGAGGTCACAGCCAGCTAATCATGTCACGATATGCTGAAGCTCATGCTGAGCCTGACCCACGGTTACAATGGCCCCTTGATGGGGACTGTAGTACAGCTTCGTGGCACAGGCGGTACAGACAGGGACCTTCCCCGGCTCTGGTCACGGGGGTGCGCGCCGCCGTACTTAACGCTCCTCAGCCACTAGATGGCACCACCGAAACGTTCACAGGAGCGTGACGTTACCTCCCCGTCCCGCGCCGTCAGAGCATCTCCTTTTCATCACTATTATCTATCCTCATTTTCCACTCCGCAGCTTCTTTTGTTCCTGATCCAGCCGAATTCCTATTACATCGTTCCTGTAAAGCTCTGAATAAGGCCACCTTTATGCACCAACTACAGTGAAACCGACCACTGATGGCCTTTCCAGCTGATTAGAGAGAGGGTCTAGCGTCCATGTTGGCCCCTTTCCCAGCCATCCAAGGAGATGCGGATTCTCCCTGTGGGGCTGGGTATCCGAAGGTGAACCCATGCGCCATTCTTCTTCATAGCTGTGCTCGTCTCCTCTCACTGAGGACTTTAGTTTTGCATTGCACTGCATCCATCATGTAAGATGCTTCACTGCAGCAGAACTTCAGTGACTCTGTACCATTTAGGTTTTAGGGTCACCTCTCACCATCTCAGTCCTCAAATGCTTTGGACACAAGGACTGTCGATATCTGCATATCAGAAGAAATTTTCCGTTGTACATTTACAAACTGCAGTTTGAGTTCTTACGCTCAGTTCATCTCCTTTTGCATAAAATCCTAAAGCCTCTAGAGTACCATCTGTCTCATTAGGAGACAAGGTCAAGTGCACCACTTACTTCCCACAGATTAGAACTCGCAGGAGGGGTTACTCCACAGCAAAGTGATGCCACCTCTCCTAATGTGAGCTTCTTCGGAAAGAAGCTATCTTTTTTAAAGAGATGCCAAGCATTCTCTCCAACAGACCCAATACAGAGTTGTAATAAAGAAATCTTTCTTCCCTATAGGTTAATGCACTTGTGTACTGATATTTTAATGCCTCTTTCTCAAACTATGAATGAATACAGAAAGAACAAGCCAAGTTGAAGAGTCATTTTCGGAGCACTGCCAAGCCAAAGTGACTGTAAACAACTACATCTCTCGTAGATATATAGACATGCATCCATTAAAACCTTTTCTGCTCACTGAAGGAGCAGCTAGAAAATCGTTCCTTCTAAATGCAAAAGGCAGTAGTGACTGAAGAACAAATACTCATCCTGCTTCCTGGTCTTTCAGAAGAAAAAATTCCCAAATGACTTCAACATCATGTAGAGCTTCACTGTCCAGAGCCAGTTAATTTTTTATTGTGTACTCCATCCTTTTCATTATGTACTACATCCATTTCTTCTTGGGGACTTGCTTAGTACTGCAGGATAAGGACACCAGCAGGAATTCCAGACAAAATACTAGCCTTCTTCCCACCATCCTACCCTGTAAATTTTTCTAGGAATTTAGCACCAACCAACTATGCAAACACTTCTGAGTTTGTTTGTTTGTGTTTTTTAACTGAGGTTCATTGATTAATTCAAATTTCCTAGTGGCCCTACCTGTGGTGACAAGTTTGGTAGAGTTTATCTCAGTATTCTCTTCCTAGCAAATGCTTGTTCTTTTACCTTGGCCTGAAGAGGCAGACATCAGGAAAGCCAGACAGCAGAAAAACATTCCTTTGATTTTAAAAGGATAGACTGGATACAGGGTTACAAGCCAGACTGAAGCTCGACACTGATTCTCCCACTGCTCAAGTTACAATAGCCACATCATTTAATTGCATCTTTTCTGATAAACTGTGAATGGTTTCTGACACCAGCATCCTCCTACAGTATCCCTGTGCAGTGACCAGTAAAATATGAATCCTCTGCTAGATCCATGCTGAGGTCACTAGCCTAAAACTTTGAGTCTAAAATGCTCTACTTGAACAATTAATATGCACAAAATTCCCTCAGTTTTGGCACAATTGCCTATGTCAATTTTTCTCTTTAGTCTAAGGCCCCAGCTCACCTACAGGCTCTCCACCCCTACATCCCTTGAGAAACCTGTTCCTGAAGACACATTTAAAGAGCCAGTAGACCACATTCTGAAAACAAAGGAAGGAGCTGTGGATGGGGATTGCCTTTCAGGTAACACCTCAGTGGTTACATCTCTTACTACACCAGGATGTGGCAGACCTGCTTTCAACTCTTGCCCCTGCCTGAGGGGAACATCTTTTGTGTCTCAGCAGTGTCCTAACCATGAGGTCATGGAGTCTGGTGCGGAGATCTTTTAGCCTCCCTTATGTATGTGAAACTGCTTTGCACAAACACCCACCCCCAGCAGGACTAAAATGTGAGTGTCCTTTCTGATGAGTTGCTTCAGACCTTGGCTATAGTAATTTTGTCCTTAACTCACGTTCACCACCACATTTTCTATTAAAAAAATTTCTCTGGCTTGTGTATCTTGCTCCCAAAGGTGGCTCCTATCTGTGAATTGAGATAATGTACTTTCCTGAACCCTTGACTCAGATACCTAAGCCTCTGAGAAGTACATAAAGTAAAACATTTAACAGTTTCCTAATTCTGCTACATCCTACTTTAGTCTCTCATTCTGAGTCTTCATCAAGCAGGCTCTTTTATAAGATCCGCTCTTAATCACCTGTCTCTTCAGGGAGCTTTAAAGTTAGTTGAGCCTCAGTATTAATTTGTGCTTGTGACTTCAGTATTTAAAAAATTACAAGCTAATGTACATTTTTAAGACAGAAATCACACCAAGTTACAGTACACCAGGCTTGCTCCTGACCTTACATCCAGTACCAAAGATCCAAAATAATTTTATCACATTAAAACTGATGCTAACATCAGAACAAAATCAGAAGCGAAACAGTCTCATCGCACCATATGACAATGTCCAATCACACTGGATTTTGCTCATGAACTTCCATGTACTTCAAAGCACCCAAGGCATAACATGTGAATCATTAGAACTTTGGGTGGTGTTGCAAAATTAGTGAGAGGAAAACCAAGACAGAACAGATCTTCACACAGTAACAACCCTGAACTACAACAAAAGAGAAAATCAGAACAAGGAATTGCTCAGATATAACACCAAAAGGACATGCCAGAGGGTCCGAGTCTTAGCTCTGTTGCACATAGGCTGTATTTCTGCTAAACACAGATACAAATGTGTACAGAGCGATGGCATTAAGCATGTGGAATGTGAATGACAAGCTTCCCAGCTGCACACTGGAGACACAGCCTGCTAGAACTGGCTTAATGCTAACTATAAAGTTGCATTCAAAAATCAGTGAAGGAACAACATGTATCATACTTGCAGACACTTTAATGAAGATTCATTACACTGGCTGTTTTAAAGTAGGTCATCTCAAAATGCTGAATATTGTTAGCAGAGAACAAATTAAAATTTTAAAATTATTAGACTGAATAAGTCATTTTGTGGGTTTTAAGTGAGTTAAAAATAATAGAATTAGTTTCATTGTTCTGCTACTGTTATTTTTTAAACTTGAGGTCAGCCTGTTTCACATCATTCTGTGGGTAGCTGGAGCCTTGTGTATACTGGAGCCAAATGAAAATGACTACAAACCCCTACAACTGTTACAAAGCAAAAGGTGGGGTGGTCTTCCATTCAGCAGGAGGAACTCCAGAATTCCCACCTTCTGAATGCACTTGATGGTTCCATGAAGTGGCATATGTGCCCTTTACATTGCTGCAGCACCACAGGATGTCAAAGAGATGAAGCCTATTATTTGACATAAACTAGAATCTAACTGCAAACTGTTTCTGAAATAGAAATCGTAATGTGTATCACTGCTGCAAATTGCTTCTTACCTCTTTTCTACAGGCATAAATAGCAAATACTTATAAAACAGTCCATCCCCTCCAAAATCTGCAATTTTTTAATAAAGTCATTGATTGAACCAGAACAACACATTTTAAAATGTTACTGGTCACACACATTGCAACTGTGATAGACATAAATCTATGAAGAATGTAAGACACACTAGCAAGTTTTATAGTCTTACTTTCTGGGTTACTGTATCAAATCTTCAGCTGAATTATCAATTTGTTCAGGGCAATATACCAATTTTTGTCACTCAACGCAATTATTTCTGTGACAACAGTACACACTTAGCAGAATATATTGCTGATGAATCACTGACTGAAGAACTTGTACTGATTTTATTTATTACATCCATTCAGGTGACATAAGCACAAATGAATGTATGCTATCTTCCCTTATAAAATGCTTATGCACTGCAGTAATTCAGTTGCATTTAGCTTCAGCATCACAAGCTCTGACCTCTTCTAGGTAGGAACAGCTTTATGTCTGCATGAAAAATGGCCATCCACAGGAACTGCTCTTTGGTGACATTATAAAGATTCATCTCTCAGTATGGTACCACTGAAACACAGCAAGACTCTCCACGTATGCTCACAACTCATGACCCTGAATAACAGGGAAAGGGGAAAGCAGCAAAGTTGTTAAAATTGTTATGCCCCCCGGTCCAGTAGGTTAAAAATTCACCACCTGGACTCAAAGATCCTGTGTCAGAACAGCCAGACTGGGAGAGAAGATGCAGTCCCCCATCTTTTAGTAATACGGAAGCAAGTCTCAACAGGTAGAAGCCCTTTAATTCACGGGGTTAACATTGCATCTTCCTAGTTCCAAAAATCAAGAGAAATCCCACGCAGTAAAAAAAAAGCAAAAAAAAATCTTTTTAATACCATTTGCTAATGCCTCTATGCAACACAGCAGCTGACTAGAAAATAATGTTTCACTGTTTACCTAGATTAAGACTTTTATCCTATCAAGATGCTTTCACAGCTTGCCTTTGGTGTGGGTGCTACTATTAACCCCTTCCCAAAATTCTGGCCCCCTCAGCTCACATCTCTGACTAGTCCTCTCCTCAGAGAGCATCCATTTGCACTTACATAGCAAGTCTGGATCTGAATAGCTGAACAGTGAGAGGGAGCCTCTTCCAAAGACTGTGCAGTGGAATTATTAGCAAAAGAAGGGGAAAGCTTCCTCCAGCAGGAACAATGAAGCGGTGCGAAGGCTGCAGTTAAGCTATGAAATACTTCTGTCTTTATCAACATTGATACATCCTGCCTGGTGAGAACTCTACCACTCTGTCTTCAACCCATGCTGTACTTAGGGTATGTATAACCAAATTCACTCCTGAAAAATGTCAATCTTACAAATCCACTCCCACAAAGCCCATTTTGGGTCAGCATTTGTGCTGCAGACACCAGGTACACCAAGCCTGCACCAGCCCTCAGGAACAGTGTGATCTAAAAGCCTGAGAAGTAGTTATCTAACAAACAGAAGCTGGCTGACATCAGGAGTGAAAATCTTGCTTTGGAAATGAAGTACAATCTAGCATTATACATGGGATAACTATGTCCATGTGTTTGGAATGTCTGGTCTTGAAACTCAGGAAGAAAGACCTTGACTGTCTGAGATTTGTAGGCTATACCTTCCTTTGGAAATGAATGGCTTAATGAAAAGGGTAGAGTAGAATGACACGTTTACCTCCAGGGATAGGCCTGTAGCACCCTGCTAGTATAGGCCATTTCAGAGTAAGAATTCAAGAGCTGAGGACAGATGATCCAACTCCATTTGGAGCTTGTCACATCACACACTCCTTTAAGTCAAAGGGTGTGGGACAATTGGCAGAAACACATTTCACACTGCGGGCTGTGTAACGGTGAAAAATGAACTCTCCATGCTCCGACTACAGGCAGAATGCCTTCCCCATCCATGAAGTGGACCACACACATACACCCAAGCACCCTGTGCTGCCAGGTCAGGCACTTGCTGCCAGCCCACCCTTCTCACAGCCTTTCCTCTGCAACCAAATGGCCTCATGAGAAGTTTGACAAGTTTCTAACCCTCTTGCTGCAGACGAAGCTTGAAAACATGAGTTCGGGCCCTTTCTCACGGCTCAGGAACCAGAGGACCAGCCTGGAGCCCAGGAGCTACAGCCAACGGCTCCGTCTGCTGCTCCCGCTGCCAGACCCCACTAAGCCGTGGCTCGCCGCTGCCACCTCCAACCTGCAACCCCTCAGCCCTGCCGGGGCCGCCCTACCTGTCAGTGCGGCCCCGGGCGGGTGCGGAGGGGAAGCGGCTGCGGCCGCGCCCGCCCCGTTTCCCGCCGAGCAGGTCCGGACCGGACCCCACCTCAGGGAGCGTTTGAGGGGGGGAACCTACAGCTGTTACACACCACTGGCGCCGCGCGCCCCCGCTCCCACCGCCCCGCGGCTCTCGGGCCGCCCCGGACGTCGCGTCGCCGGGGCGGGTGCGTAGTTCCGGCGGGGAGAAGGGAGGGGTGACATGCAGAGCGGGCAGCCGCGGCCTCGGGAGCAGCTGGAGCCGGAGCTGCCGGAGCAGCGGGCGGGAGCGGCGCGGGGGGGACAGGCCTGGCGCGGCGCCCCCACCATGGAGATCGAGAAGGAGTTCCACCGGCTCGACCAGGCCGGCAGCTGGGCCGCCATCTACCAGGTGAGGGGCAGCCCCCCGGCCCCGGCGCTGAGGGGGGAGCGCTCCTTCCCTTACCCTCCCTCTGCTGCTGCCTGGTCCTGCCCCTCTCCCATCCCCGCGGCGTTGTGCCGAGCTCCCTCAGCCTCCCCTCTCCCTGGTCGGAGCTTTCCCGTCCCCGCTTCCCTCCCGCCGGGCGCTGAGGGGGCAGCGGGAGGCCCCGCTCGGTGCCCCCGCGCCGCGGAGCCCCTCTCACCTCTTTCTCCGTGGGCGGGGAGCGCCGGGCGGCTCCCCCCCGGCGGCGCTGCGGGTGCACGGGCACCCTGTGGGCAGCGCGCTCCGCTCGGCGGCGGGCGGAGACCTCCCGTACCGCGGCGGGGCTGCCCGCGGGCAGGGGTGGGAGCGGGGCAGCGGCCCCGGTTCTGTGGGGCGAGCCGCGGTTGTCTCTGCGGGACCCCTCAGCCCCGCTCTTTTTCTCGCTCCGGATTCCGTTTGGAGCTAAGCATGGACAGGAATTCGCAGTAACCGTTTAAAGTTGCCCATTTCCTAACGTTAAGGGAATAAATCTTAGTATCCTGTTTGTCGTCCTTTATTTCTATTAGCAGTGATAGGCAGCATTGCATGCACCTAGGTTTTCAGTCACTTTAATAATAGCCGGAAGCCAGCTTGTTGGTGTTACTTGTACAGTTACCTGGTACTGGTTCTTATTATTTAGTTTACTACATTTAGAGCTTTTTGGTGACATTTTGAAAAACGTGTGTGGCAAACATGAACACTTGTAAGAATATTTGTCCGCTGGAACCACCTTTACACACACAAGCAAGATAAATGAAGGCTTTTCCCTTTAAAAAGTTCCTTGCACATTTATCCAAAATGAAGTTTAAAAGGAGATGAAGCGCATGAATGGGTGGGCGGGTGTGTTCAGTCAGACCAGGCAGCATTACTGTAAAATCCATTTGAATGTTTAAGCTGGTATATTGCATAAACTAATGAGTTTTAAATTCATATTTGCAACACAGAAGTTGGGCTTTGCTTCCCTTTCGCTATGGATTTCTCTGGCAATAGACATTTAAGAGAAAGAGTGGACTTCTCTAAAAGTGAAATAGATGAGCTCCAGTTTCAGAATCACAGCAGGCAAGCTTTAAATATAGTAATTTGCAGGATGAACGCTTCTAGTTGTTTGGCTATTAGAGAATAAGCATAAAATCTTGAGCATGCTTTTCAGAAGGTCATTTTTTTGTTAGAGTATTTAATTTCCTGCGGAGTTTCAGGGTTTGCTAACTATATCAGTTGAAAGTCATGTGCATATATGACGTTATGTTTTTGCTAAACCGTTCTTGATGATTTGGTATGTTGCAGGCTTAGTGCTCAGGAAATGATTTTGAGTAATATATCTCTGTCATGGAGGTGGTGTATTTCTGTGGGTGCAGTTTAATTACAGAAGTGATACGTATAAAGAGAACGAGGGACTGTGGAATATTTTCAATGCAGGATCAGCATTCAGTGATATTTTTGTCCCACTGTCTTTGAATGATGTGACTCAGTAGCCGGCTCAGACTGTGGCACAGCACGAGGTTTGATTGAGGACTAAGACTCAACTCAAAAAAATAAAGTGTTTCTTTGATTTGCATCCAACTATTGACAAGCAGGAGAGGTGGGTCTTTTTTTTTTTAAGATTGATCAGTGTATGCATTGATGTCATGTAATTCCTCAACAGCATCTTTTAAATATCAGATGTTGAAAATGACATTTTGGCAGATCATGTACATCTGGAAGAACGACATACTTCACTATAATCCGTGCTTTTGATTTCTGGGCTTTGACATTAGCAATGCAGTTGTCCTAAAAATACCAATCCTTTTAGGTATTTTTAGGCCTGAAGAATAGAGTCAGTGGAATAATGTATGTTGTTGGTGCAGAAAAAAAATCATCTTCCAAGTTAACTGTACCACGGGCTTCTTGTATCTAGGTGTTACGATTGTAACTGCTAAAATTCAGAAATGTTCACCAGCATTCCATGTGAAACATAATGCAGTTTACTAACAGGCACCTCCTTTTGTTTCTTGATCTATTATCTAGAGGTACAGAACTGCACAGCATCTAGGGGAGGAATAATGAATGCTACAGGGAGGTGAAGCTGATCAGAAGAATGACTACACGGGTGCCATGTGACTTTGAAGGATTAAAATTGTCCAGGCTTCTTTTTTTCTGGACACGGGAAAGCTGTGTTCAGCTATGATAATAGTACAGTTGTGCAAGAATAACATTTGGATTATTTTCTTAAACCTTAAATAGTCACAGGAGGGAGACAAAAGCGTTTCAAAATGAAGACCTTGTGTAGGTGATTTTGTGACAATCATGTCTTGGGCACTGCACGTGTAGTGCAACTGTTCTCTGCCACAGAGTGAACACTGTTGAAACACTCCATGTTTTGTTGGTTTTGGTTTTTTAAATACCCAGTGCTGTTCTTTCCTTTCATCTAGATTTAATTGCTACAAGAACTACGAGATCGTATTGAGGTTGTTCAGAGACCCAGTAGATAAAAAGGACTGGTCTGGTTCTGTCCATGGCTTGTGTTGTAGAGAAACATGCTTAGAAGATAACTAATAAAATAAGAGCTGATCTTAGCATACGAACAAACTTAAAGGAAAATGGACAGCAGATTAAATGTGAGCTTTGCAGTGTGATAACCAAGGTGAAGGTATGCAGCAGAAAACAAATGCTTAAGGGTAAGTGAATAATAGCACCCTCCATAAATATAATTAGAAGTATCAATAGGAATGAAAAACATTCACTCTGGAGATATGACAACAAAGAAGCAATAGCCCAGAGCTAAGAAAAGCACAGTTTAGGCTTGTTTTTAGAGCTGGGGAGAAAAAGATACAGATACTTGTCCAGAATGTCAAAGGAACAATGGATTTGCGTTTGCTACAGTGACTGCAATATCAGATTTTCATGGTAATTTTGTATGCAGAAGATTTCCAGAATTTTAGGAGGTATTTTAATTTCTAAGTTCTTATACAGGGTGATAGAATGAGATATTATCTTAAAAACACAACCCTCAAATACAGGTAGAGTTGCTTCTTGTGTTTATATAAGCTGGTTATGTTGACTTTAGTATGTTGGCCAATGATATTACTTTGATGTGCTTATCAGTAACAGTAAAGATACCTCTGAATTATTCTCTGATCTACCATTCAACTGGGATCCCATACAACATAGATGGAGGCAGAGCTGACTCCTAGTTTTACAGAAACATCTATGGGGACAGCTCATGTAGAGAAGGTAGCAAATTAAACTGTGCACTGTTCTCTAATAGGTTTTTTTTTAGTCAGTAGAACACAAAATAAGAACAAACTGGGTGTAGTCTAGATTTTCAAATATGTTTGGAGGCGAGTGTACTGAAAACAGAACTAACTACATTGCTGTGTGTGCTCTGGAAAGTGCAGTTACAGTTTGGTTTGAGGCCTGCAAGAGACACGCAGCTGTTCTCAGTTTCTTTATTATTTTTTGAGGATATTTTAAAGTAATATTAATGTGAATGTTACTTTTTTTTTCCTCCAACCTCTCTAAGCTAAACTAAAATACTACAAATTCTGAAAGCTAATAAGCTTTACCTATGGTATGGAAGATAAAGATCTATCGTGGATGTTTCAGACATCTCTGCCAAGAGAGAAAAGGCATGGAAGGAGGTTTTTTTTCGACATAGTCACTGTCTCTGGAAAAATATTTGTAGAATATGTATATAGATTTTAATGATTAAAGTAAACTGTGAAATGGTTGACCCCGTAGACTGGGTAGCAGTGTGGTTGTGTTGTGTATTTAAAGTAAATGAACAGGAAGTTCTACTGTGTTTTCAGTTTATAAGCTGCAGTGAGAGTTAAGGCTTTGTGCTGCTGCATTTGGGTTACTCTTTTGCTCTGGTGCTAAAAAAGTTTAAACTTCTTTGCAGCAGATAAATTGTAGCATGAGCATGACTTATTATAAATGCATCTTTGTACTTTATTCTGCCAGTTCTTGCTACTTGAACATGCAGGTCTCTGCATGCATGCCTCACCACTTCTTAATTCATGCTATGTTGATTCATTCGAGGCTTAGCTTAATTGGCTCTGGTTATGGAAAGCTAGTTTAGAACTGACAGTTGCAAGGAGTCTCTTTTTTTGACTTCAGTACAGCTAAAGATACTCCATGTTTTCCAGTGCTATACAGCCCCTGAATCTTGATACAAATGTGGGAGAGGCTCCAGTGATGGAGTAGCTAAGTCTCTGTGGCTTGCAAAGCCAGTAACTGTCACAAAATCAGACTTTGCCTTCATTTGCAAGTGATGGTATGTTCTGTGATATTGAGAATGTTTCAGGGCACTCAGCTGCATTCATTAGTTATGCTGCTTTTTCAGATCAAGACCAATTGTGTCTACTGATGGCAAATGCAAGATTGAGGAAGTTCCATTATATAGAGCTCCAGAGCTGCTTAGTTTTACTTGGTTTTCAGAGTTTAAAATCTAAGTACTTGAATCCAGATCTTCCATGATAGCATTGCTGTAAGTAGAACATTGAAAAGTGGAGCCTCTTATGGCTTACTGTTAAGGTGATAGAATTCGCTAAAAATGTAGAAATTGTACAATGTGCAGACAGTACTACACCTGATTCTGAGCACCTTCAGGAGGTTTTTATGGCCTTGGTGTGTTCTTCCACGTGTTACTTATTCCTCTTTCTGTCTGCTGTAAGGGTGCATATATAGAAGGAAACTGACAGTTAAGGAGAATGCAGTGTTGGCCATAAGCCAAACGATGTTAAATTCAAATAGAAAAAGCCCTTGTAAGTAGAGAATAAAATGTGGTAATGGCAGACCGAGTATTTCGGAAACTAAAATAACTTTCTGTATATTGGGGGTAGGTTTGAATTAAAAGTTAACAAAACATGAAAATTAAAACTTATCTTATAATACTTGCTTTGCAAATGGGCTTTCTCCAAGGGTTCTCTTTAGCTGAGGCTTTCTAAGCTATGGTTTATACAGAAATACCACTGCTACTTGTAAACATATCAATTCTCAGGTTTTAGGTCAGTGTCATTAGCGTGCCACAATAATCTATTTGGATTGTGAATTTAGCCACATTAAATATCTGAGGATATCAGTTCTTTGAAATTCAGAATTTGTGTGTGATTCAGAGTGGTCATCTTTTAATTAAAAGAAGTTGGAGGAGGAGAGTTTGCAAACAAAAAAGTGAAACCCCATCTATAAAAAAGGGTAAAAGCTTCAAGTCGTGCATCACTTGTGCTCTAGTGAATGTGAGATTTGAGTGGGTTGTTTGAGCCACCAGATAATGCCACTGAATTGGTTTTCCAGTAGGCAAATAAACTTTTCTTTTCTTTACCGGCCCCATATGCAAAATGGGATTTGTGTTCGGTAAAGTGTT